GTTCTGGACATAATAAGCAAATCACTGGAACATTTAGCCTTCGGCTCCAGCGAGCACTTCCAGTTCAGGAATGCTATCATTGAATCTGCAGGCCTCAGTGCCTCTCTCTTCTTAGTCTGTGAGAGCAATCAATGAATGCTGAACATTCGCCCACATTATGGCCCCTCAGCCAACCAACGTCATGTTTGCCTCTATCTCAGCACCCATGCTCCCTCTCTGCTGTAAAAATCTGTCCTTCTTGACAGCAGATGGTGTGCACCTATGAAAGGTAACTTTAAAGATATAGTGTAGGATGTTCTTTTTCCTGGTGGATCATCAAAATAAGTGGTCCTCCTAATTGCCAATCATCCTGGTGATATGTTTACGTAAGGCCGTCCTACGTGCTCATCCCCAGGTTGCTATCTTTTTCTGCCAATGCGCACTTTAAGGCGTATATATGTGGTGAGCTACGGTTTCAGCCAGTCATTGAAGCTCACCTTACTCACAATGGCGGAGGGTCATAAGAGAGAAAATGTCTACGAAGTGTATGAGAAGAAAAGAAAGAGAGCACAGGTTGGGCTTCTACTGATGCCTACGTTTCTACTCGACAGGTAAAGTTTAGCATGCTATTTGGAGAAATCCATTTCACATCACTGCTGGTAAAAGTTAACTACCTCTATATTGTAACTTTCCATAAGGTAGGAAGATAAGTTTATTAATTTTGTAATTTGCATCGGTAGTAGTTATATGGTGGCCACAGATCCTTATTTACCCCTCAAACACGTCCAAATTTCCACTGCAGCACACACACATACAAGTAGATGATACATTTATAAGGTACTAGCAGTCTTATTTCCGGGGAAATTTTACTAAATAAATATGGGTGAGATGGGATCCATCTGAGCGACCATATTTTTGCGTTCTGTACATCCAAGAGGAGATATGGGCTCGTGCATGCTCTCGACACGCGTTTAATAGGCGTTCCCTCACAGGAGTGAGTACAGGGTTTTGCATATGCATTTTTTGTGGAGAGGGCAGGTCTTTTCAAAAACTGCGAAAATCCTCCACTATACCTTTAATTGATAAAGCTGTAGTAAAATGCCAAAGGTAAAGGAATAGCATTACTGACAGGAGGAAAAGTGATTAAGTAAGTTGGATTACTGCATCACGGAAAAACTTATGCAGTTTCTAAGAGCATTACTAATTCACTTCGTCAGGCCATAAACCAAATCAACTTTCACTTATTATGACTAGAGGCTAGAAAATTCTCACAACAGTGGGTGCTAGAGTGGCCAAATGTATTACTCAGAGAAAATATTGCCCAAGTTCTAATATCGTTTTGGACTCTTTAAAGGGACTTCTTGCAATTAGGCTATAAACACCTCACTTAGAATCTGATTCAAATCCTCTTCTTAGAAACCATAAGTCAAATGATCACCAGAAGTCATTTGTCTTGATTATGAGGCTACAAACTGGATACTAAATTCAGAAAAAAAGAAAAAAAACTGAATCAAATTACTAACATGTTCAGCTTGACTATGACTGGAAACAAATGTGATCCGGTTATCATTTATCCCTAAAAATTCTGGATTAATTAATACAATCTTTAGAGAAAGGAAATTTGATTAGCAGGATGAGGAGCTAAGAGTGACAGCATGTGTAGAATTAATATGGATCCCCAGTAGTCTAGTTGAAAAAAAAAAAAAAAAAGGGGATGTTGGATTTTTTTTTTTTTTATGAAAGCATACATAGCCTAGCCTAATTAATATATTTTATAAACCTAAAGCAATATGCATGGTATGGTTGTTAAATGTCAGATACACTGGTCATTGAACTTGACCAAGGCACCTTACAGTAGAACTGCAGTCAGTCCCTGGACTGGCATGGCTATCACTGCCCCTACATAGTTAGGGACAAATACAGAGGACAAATGTCCCGCTGGGATCAGCTTCCTTCTCATGGTAGGCCACTTCTTTGATTTTCTTTATTTTGCTCAGGCTACTCGTGAGCTGAATGTGGAAAGGGCAATATTATTGTTATTACTGTTAATATATAGTAGAAATTTTACACATTCAGTATTAAAATGTCACAGGGGATGGTATGGGGGGATGGTGATTTAAGAAAGATGATGATTTTTAAGATTTTTTTTTTTTAAGAAGGGAATGCCATCCCCCCTCAACTGAAGTACTATGGACACATTTAAAGGTGGCCATGAATCTCTTTTTAGTTGTTTTTTCATAAATACACCTGCTTTAAAAAAGTTCTACTAAAGACAGTTTTGATTAGATTTTAACATTGATGTCTATAAATACACGTAAATTTTGTAAACATTTTCTTTCTTACAAGATCTTATTTTAAGTTATCTTTCTTTAGTTAAAGGGCACCCGGTTTTTTACAACTCACTTCTTCATTTGCTTGCATAGGCTTAGAACTTCTAGATATAAAATGTTAGATTAAGTGGTAGATTTGCAATCCATTCCATCCTGAAATATTTTTGATGGCAGGTTGAATCAAAGAGGGAAATATTGGGAGCAGCTGAATTTTATCTCCATAAAATGTCCCTGATTATACATCAAAGTAGCTCCCAGAGTCACGACTCCTTTTACAGTTTCTCTCGTCTCCGAGATAAGGCATAAACTTTACATTAGCTCTAACTTTAAAGTTGAGAGTTTACTGTGTGTTTGGCATTGAGTCATTTTCTGTAGACTAAATGAAAGCAGGGAGAATAAATAAAAAGATGATGCTGAAAGAAAGCTTTTAATTCCTCACAAAGAGCTGCCCTCATAAATGAAGATGAAAAGCAGCATTCGTTTATTTGATGTGTCCCTGGATGAGTGCTTTCTCCCTCTCTTCTCTTAATGAAATAAATAGAATGGCACCAGAAATTGCTTTGACATTTCACATGCTTTACCTGTTCTCTTGATTCATTTCTGCAACTTCGTGATTCTAACAGGTTTTTTTTTTTTCAGTTTCTTCGTTTTCCTTTTGTTTCTTTTTATACTTTTCTTATATTTGATTTCTCTCACCTACATCAACAGCGTTCTGCAGGTGACATTATGATAAGGAACATCCAACTAAGCCATGCTGGGAAATACACCTGTGCAGTTCAGACCAAGGTGGACAGTGTGTCAATTGCTACAGATGTGGTTGTTAGAGGTAAGGACTCTCCTTATTTATCAAAAGAAGATTTAAAATTACCAATGCATGCAAAATACATAAAGTTGCAGAGATGAATGGATCAAGAAGAATACATCACATTAGATGTATGAATCCCAGAGTGCCAGTCACGGTCTATGGGACCTCAAGCACGGATAGGTTGAATCTGTTACATTTTATCCTCTATTAGGATATTATCTCATGCAAAAAAACATCTAAATGTTTAATTTTAGTGCATTAAGTGAACTGTCAAAAGGTAACAAGAATCCCTGACTACAAAGTTGTTGCCATTTAACTCGGTAGAGGAGCTGTTAGAAAAAGTCTCATTCTAAAATTTCTGACATCATGGATTCTGTTGCTCTGATTAAGGTAAAGGTCGTGACTGGGAACAAAGGGTCTCATTGCTGAAGTAGTTCTCTGTGGGGAATTACTCCAGAAAACAGAAGTTAAAAAAGAGTAAAAAAGTTAAAGACAGGTTCACAAATACTGGACTCTTGGCTGCTTCTCATTAACCCTTCGCTGCAAGCTGGATTATCGCAAGATCTGAGTTTTGTGTCTGACAACAAATCTATCTTAAAAGACTACCACTAATACGTCCATCTCTTAACAACCAGTGAGTCAGACCATACACTTGCCAGCAGTGTTTTCTTGGGGTGGGCCATGTAGGAATTACAACATTGAGAAGGGCCTTGCTGTGGCATTACAAACATGGCTAACCTGGAGGACTCACCTGTCGATACCGCAATTAACTCGGTTTTAACTAAAATACAGACAATTTCACGTTTGAAAATGGAGCAAAGAAAAGCACCTTGTGCATTTGTTGATTAGAAAGATGTCTTTGCTTTTTTTCTTACAGGATTTGGAAAAAGTTTGATTTTCCAGCTTACTGCTCTAGTTGTGAAAAAGTCACGATTCGCTGTTACGATTAGCTGAAACCGTATTATGGAAGACGGCATTAGCTGGCCAGTCACCCAATCAGCTCGAAGTATTGTACTAAACGTCCCTCCTTTTCAAGGACAGACTTAATGACAGGCGTCCTAGATTGATAACGTAGAACTCAACTCAGTTCCACACATATCAGTCTGGCTACTGCCAGGTTAGCTTCTTATTGAAAAAAATAAGAGAAGTTCTTCCTGATTTTCTTTTACTCTTAAGTTAATTTTTTTTGCAGGAAAAATTATTAGCACATTCAACTTTGTACAGCACAAAGTATTCAGTGAGAATATTTCATTCATTCAGATTTAAGATAAGTTTTTAAAATTTTTTTGAGAATTGTGTTGTAAGAATTTAATATAGGAAAAAATCATAACATTGTCTAATTCTTCTTAAGGTATGGTTCATTATGTTTTTGTCAATCTATATTTGTTTTACATTTTGGTCAGGTTTGCATTTCATTATTAAATAAAATAGCTGCTACACCAAATCTCACTTTCTTCTAATCCATTTGGTATATAAACCCTGATCATGATCCAACTTATCCATGTCTAACGTCTTCTTCCTCTTCTCCTCATTAATCTTTCAAGTGTTTATCTTTCTGTGTAAGTGGACTGTAACTTATCATTCTTCCAGGTCCTCCAGACCCACCATTAGATTGTCAGGTGAATGAGATGACTGAGACCACTGCGTCTCTGTCTTGGAGGCCTGGATTGGACAACCACAGCCCCATCCTCAGCTACACTATCCAGGCCAGAACACCCTTCTCCCTCGGATGGCAAACTGTTACCAATGGTAAGCTTATGCTTTTAGAGAGACTATCTATGTAGGTCAGAAGAAATATAAATATGCTGATTTTGAAAATCTTTATTTGTTTCAAACAATATTTGTGAGCTGATATGTATAACATTGCATAAGTTGATCAATATTTTTTCCTGTGCTGATGAAACATTATTTATCATATGTCTTTTAGTCCGAGAAATTTTAAAGGGGAAAGAGCTCTCAGCCACTGTGACTGATTTAAGTCCCTGGGTTGACTATGAGTTCAGAGTTTTGGCAACCAACAGTGTTGGAACAGGAGAGCCCAGCAAACCCTCAAAGAAGACCCGCACCAAAGAAATGCGTATGTATTGTTGGGACTTTTTTTTTTGTTTGTTTTGTAAGTCTATTTCTTGCTCCTTTCTTAAACCAGTGTTTCCAAGCCTTTTTTGACTTGTGTACCCCATTGGGCATTTTTGCTTACCATGAGTACCCCTCACAGTCAAAATTATTGATGATTGTCCAAAAGTGGAATGTACAATAGCTGAAATAAAGACAATTTTACTTAATCTTTTAATTTGAGCATTTTATAATTTCATACTGTCCATCAAAGAAAAAAACAACATAAATATGTTGCCTGGAAGTTAGTAAGGAATCAAAATAAATACAAAATAAAATCATATTATAAACCTGTATTTAAATAAAACTGGAGCTCCTATGAGTAACTCCCTTATAATTACATTTAAAATTGATGTATTGGGAACAAAATACAGAATTAAAGTTATAGTCAGACTGTCTTAATTAGTTTAATTTGTTTTCATCAAGACACATGAGCTTGTTTTGATTAGCTCTGATAGCTCAGTGTGAAAAACAGCTGCTACCAGGCTGTTTTCTACATTTAGTCTGTTCCTCTGCATTAGAAAACTTACTTTTTGATTGATAAAAGCATGTTCAATTATTCAGTTGGCTCCTCACAAAGCAAAACAGATCCCAGCCCTATTTTATATTACTACCGGATAAATAAAATATTTTCGTGTACCCCTTGCATTGCACTCACGTACCCCTAGGGGCACGCGTACCCCCGGTTGGGAAACACTGTCTTACACAAGTTCAAATAGAATATTGATAAAGAAACATGATGAAAATACTAAAAATATAGATTGATTGATACTATCAAATTCTATGTTTTATGATAGTTACCATATAATATTGGGCCGTCTTACGAAAGTTGATTTCAAAAATGTTTTCAGTTTTCAGTTTCAGGCATACTGTATGTAGGCTCGCTTTGCTCATGATTATTCACAGAAAAAGTATATCAAGTTGTATTTTTAATAAAGTAGCTCCTCATGGGTGTTTAATTCATCAAAATTCGTTTTATCCACACTCAAAAAAATCAGATATGAAAATGATAAAGCTTTTATGACAAAAACATACAATTCCATTGGAGATTCTGGTTCTGCTTGCAACCATAACAGACTCTGAGTCCTCCTGTAGGTTGCTTTGAGTAAAACAAGCTTCTCTCACAATCCATTTTGCACATGCACCTTTCTCTTATCATTAGCTTTACATTTTGACACAGCCTTGTTTCCAAACATGATTCACGTGTTGGCAGCCATATATGTGAGAGAGCCACTATTAAACTGAATATCTTAGCAGTTTTTAATTCTGGTTCTGTCTTAGTTTCTTTACCTATTTTTGTTTTTTTATCCCAATACAATCAAACCAAATTTAATCAAATTCTGAATCATATTTGAACATAATATAGTGCACTACCACATTATACTAGACTTTGCAAAGTATACACTGCCTTTAAGTACAAAATGTGTCTGTCTAAGAAAACCAGCAAGTGGGATTGAATCCTTGTTTAGTGCCAATCTCTGATGCTGAGCAAGAAGTTTATCATTGTAAAAGGAAGGGACTTAATTATTACAATAAATCTCAAGCAGAACCAAGTTTAGGGAGGTCAGCTATTTGTGTCTACTGGCTCAGGGCTGAAAGGACAGGACAGTCACACAACAACACAAGTTATCAAGGAAAGCACAAAAAAGGTAATCATTATAAGTAATAGATGAATGAAGACATCATGCCTACAGCAGTATAGTTTTTGAGGAAGCCTTTGAAAACCAGGACTATGAAAATATCAAATTTTTTTAAAAAGGGCAAGTTTTAAGCTTTCTATAGAAAAAAAACTGCACGCTAGTTCCTGACTTTTAGAAACTAGCAGTATACCTGCAGCAATGAATACTTACTGTTCTTTGGGAACATATGGAAAATAAGGTCTAAAGTATAAGACGGTACTTGATTATTAAGGACATTATAAGTAGAAGGAAAATGTTAAAATTCAATTTTACTTTTACCAGGGAGCCAAAGACAAGAGGCAAACCTTAAGAAGTATCCCACTGTCTTCCAATTCATCAAAACTCTCACTTCAGCATTTTAGAATAACTTAAGAATTTCAATAAAAGATACTACATTGCAACGCCTCTGCTTCCTATTTTCAAAAACTAAAATGAGTCAACTAAAGGCAACATTAAATGCTTAAAAAGAAAAAAGGTGCCACATCTATCATCCCTGCTTGATTTTTCTAAGAATTTTGAGTTTGTTGTTGGATTCAGAGAACAAGAGGCTAAGTAAGAAAGCCGTATACAAAATGCCAGGTGTTTAAAAGGCAAATTAAACTGAACTGTGTCAGAGGAAACCTTTTTTGTATGTAGCTTCAATAGCTTTATTGTGTATTATAGCCAAACCCTAAAAGGGATTATCTTCTAACAATCAATACACATCACATATATAATTTCTTTGCTGCTTCACTGGTTATTAAAAAGTCACTTGAATAAACTGCAGTTGAACAAAATTTTGCACAAGATCAATGTTTTGGTTCTTTTAGGATGAGTTTTAATGCATTTTGAATATCTATTACATGTTCAGCATAACTGCCAATCTATATTATCTTTCTTGATTGATAAATACGGTTAGTTTAACAAAGCAATGTTTTTGGCGTGTTAGTGCCTAGAGTGACTCCAGCGAGGGTAAGCGGTGGTGGTGGAGGACGATCGGAGCTTGTCATCACGTGGGAAGTAAGTGTGCAGATAATTACATGTGATTCTTTAAGCTTTACCTGGTTGTACGTGTTATATTGGTGTTTGGTTTTTAATATACGGTTCTATTTTATACTACTAGAGGCGACAAAAGTAAGGTTAAACAATAATGACTCTCAAATTTACAAGATTTGCTTGTTTTTTTGACTCAGCACTTTAGTTCTTCTATATTTCTTTGAATCGGGTAACATCAGGAGGAACACAAAAGCTTCCTTCTAATGAGTACTTTGTCTGTTTTTTGCTGCCTCCTTAGCCCGTTCCAGAGGAAATGCAGAGCGGGCCAGGCTTTGGTTACGTGGTGGCTTTCCGCCCTCTCGGAGCACAAGGCTGGATGCAGGCAGCCGTCACATCCCCTGATGCTTCAAGATACGTTTTTAAGAATGAAAGCATCCCTCCCTTCTCCCCTTATCAAGTCAAAGTTGGGGTTTACAACAATAAGGGCGAAGGGCCTTTTAGTCCTGTTACTACCATCTACTCAGCAGAAGAAGGTGCATACCATAAGTATTCTACTCCGGACAGATATTAAAAATGTTTTAAACAGCGACTACACATGTTTGTGTGAAATATTAGTGAAGAAATTACAATTTCTACAGCACCAAAATAGTAATAAAATGATTTAAATTCACCAAAGAGGTTATCTTTCTCTTGAAATTATAAAAAAAAATACTAGATGAAGCCGCTCTATTGTTTAGTCATAGTGTGAATGTGGGTGTAGAGAATGCATGAAACTCTAAGTATCATGTGTATGTTTTAGAACCCAGCAGAGCTCCAGTCAAGCTAAGGGCGAGGAGTGTTTCAGCATCTGAAGTCGAGGTCACCTGGAAGCCGCTGGCGTGGAGCAACAGCCGAAGACGTATCCTTGGCTATGAGGTCAGACCACCAGAAGCTGTCTTACTTTGACATGCAAAAATGCAGTGAACATTGCAAAAAGAATTTGATTCCTTTTAATGCAATGTGCTCCTTTTTTTTCTACCATTTTGTTTATTTATTTTTTTATTTTTTCAATCAGATTGCACGTAATGCCCCATGCTAAAGAGGGAAGAAATAAAAGTGTACAGTGGAACTGATGAAGTGTGACCTGAACATCTTTTGTGTCTAGCTGCTGTACTGGAGAGAGAAGGAAAAGCCGGATGCAGCCAGTGTGGTCAGAACAGAGGGGAATAAAACATCAGTACTCATCAGGGATCTGGAGGGCAGCAGTACCTATTACATGTCCCTGCGGGCCTATAACAGCGCTGGAGTGGGTCCACAGAGCTACATAGTCAATGTCACGACCAAGAAACCACGTAAGGGGTCCACTTAAAAGATGCTGTTGGCGAATGGAAATGTCCTTTTGTGTATTGTATTTTCCCTGCTGCTGTCTTGTTTGTTTTTTCTTCCTTTTACCTTACCTTACAGGCCAAAGTCTGTTGAGTCACTATTAGATGAGGAAAGTGGAAAACACTCACAATGGGAAGATTAGCTCCTTTCATTTTTTCCTCTGCATCAGCTATTTTAATAAGTTTGTGTGTTACTTACATGTACATTTAAATTAATTATGTGCCTTTCTAAGCAGGGTGGGTCAAACATCTTAATTAAATTTATAATTTTTAAAAACAAATAATTTGAATTTATTGTCATTGTTTTCTAATACAGTCATTATATGTACAGCTGCAATAAACTTTTAGATATTTACTAATTACTGAATATCTTTTAGCAAGTTGCACTTCTAAAAAACTCTTTAACAAGCTTCTAAATTTGTTTCATCAGTAATTATAATGACTGGTTATATGACCACTTTATTTTTCATTTGTAACAATAGTCTAAATTGGTTTTTGAAATTGGTTTGTTTCCTGGCATGACAACAAAGAATACTGTAGTCCACAGTGAGGTTTAAGTGAGGGAGGTGTGATGGTAATTCCAAAATTTTTAATATTTCCTTGTTTATCTTTTCCAAGATCAGTTAGGATGTGCCTTTTGGATCTTTGCAGTGTTCAAAATGTTCCAATTATGTTAAAGCTTTAACCATTTGACCCAAACCACCAGGCTTGGATAAAAGTAACAGGTTCGAATGATTAAGAATGATCAGAAACTACTCAATTTTAAAGCCTCAAATGAACCGCAGTGTTGAATTTTACACCCTGCCATTTGCTGAGAGAATCCCTAATTCTGCAGTAAGAAATTTCCCCACTGGGTAAAATAAATTGTATATTTCTTTTAGTTCTACAACATTCATACCTTGCTGATATGTAAATCAGCCCACAGATAAAAACCTTATTCAGGAGAAATGGGTGTAGGTCCGAGGATTTAGTTGTTATTTCAGGCAAACAACAAGAGTTTTTTTCAGTCGCTATAGTAAGCCTTTTAAATCTAAAAACACACCCAAGAATAGGCCCGGACAATCAGTTTTATTTGTAATATAATCTCAATAAAAAAAACAAAAAACAAATTTCCAAATAGAAGAGAATCCATGTATCATTATTAGTTCATTTGTTTTTCAATTTAAAACCAAGAATGAAAATATAAGAAACAATTGTTTTTTTTGTTTTTTTTAGTTTCATAAAATAACAGAAATATTTTCACACTATAATAAATATGTGGCAAATGGATAATGAGAATATGATTTTACCTTTTCCAAGCTTTCTTTGGTTTCTGATGTCATGCTTTTTGTGACTTTTATGAGGTACAAGTAGCAAGTAAAAGAAGAAAGGAGAGTCACAAGGTGCCTTGGTAAAAAAAAATAAAAATAATAATCCAACAGCTGCTTAGAAGGTTTTTCAGCTGTATATCTTCTATCTATTTGAAAATCATAGCAGTAACCTACATAGTGACAGCCAATGAATAAGTAGCCTACAACAGGTTATTTCATACTTGCTGTCTTCCACTGTTTATAAACATGAAAAAATGATCATTATTATTTTGTTTTATATAAGTAATGGATATGTAAAATTATTTATTAATGTATGCAAATCATTAAGAAGACTGAACTACAAAAACTTAGAGCAGAGAGGCTACTCAGATTTGCCCTGCAAAACGAAAAAAGAATCAAGGTTTGGATTTCTGAATCAGGGATATTCATTCATGTCTGCACCAATCAGAGCCAATCTTAAATTAAGGAGAAAAAGTCACATAGAGCATTGCCCTGTTTTGTAAACAGGTGCATCTTCAACATATAGTATGGCACAAATTGGTGAGAAATTTCATTGTTCTGGGAGCACAAACCAATAGATGTTTTTGGGCTTCCACACATTTTTATATACAACTGACTTGATAGTATTTGTTTTTTTTGTTTGTTTTTTTACCTGAGAGGGTTTGGGATTGAGGTAAATAACTTAAAAAGCTCATAAAGACGAGATGCTATAAGAGCCCAAAACAACCTAAAAATTTTATGCAAGTATTCCCTATTCATGAATGACTGTATTCCAGGCAACAATAAAGTCCCAAAGCAATGGACTCTGGACAATAGCGCATTAAGGACTATTAAAACAATAAAACCTTGAAGCCTGATGCATATGCTAAGAGTTTGTTAAGAGGAAAATCTGAATAAATATAACAATTTTGGTTAAAAAAAAAATAAAAAAATTGCAGTTTTTGACTTGACATTTGGAAAAGAATCACGTAGTCTTGGTGCAAAGCATAAAGCTTGGAGGTTGGATAATCATGTGAGAATGCTAACAATAGCACTGGTGTGTTATTCAGAGTAGATGCAATGATAAAACTTGGGATGCCGCATGTAAGTTAGCTCAGGCAATCAACTTCAGCTTCGCTGCTGTAATCATTTTACATATTTCTTTAAAAATCTCTCTTTCAGCCATTGATATTCTCTAAAACAGAAAAGTGGAAGAAAAGAGGGGCTCAAAAAAACAATTAAAGACATAAATTGATATTGACATGTATGCCCTTGATAAGTGAACTGTAGCTGAAAACCATAATAAAGGATTTCTCAACCAGGAAAATTTCCAGTCATTATTACAAAGATTTTGCTGTATGGACAGATTTATATGTGCATATCTGATTTACGATCAAACAGTGTACTTTATCATGGAGATGAATATTGACAAAAATTGATTTTTTTCCCCACACCTTTCTTGTACCTTAAATGCATCATACTCAAGCTTTATGGCCTCTGTAGCATGTATTATTATATCATAAGCCTGTATGTTGGATAAGAGTGAAACAGGCCTTCAGAGATGTTCTTCGAAACTGAGGGAAAAACACTTTCAGACAGGCATGTGGCATTTAAACATCTCAAACATTATCTGATATTAGATGATACAGCATTTTCCATACAACGCTGAACTAACAGTTAAGAATAGTCCACTAGCAGAGTTCCCTACTAACAGAGGCCTGACAGGCTAATAATGAGATTTCCTACAAATTAATATGGTTGTGGGTTATTTATTGATTCAACCATCTGCATCTTTTCCTCTCCCACTCATCTTTCACCCTGTTGTCTTTTTCTAGCTCCCAGTAAAGCCCCAGGTAGAATAATGTGGGGTACTTCCAACTCTAAAGTCATTCTGAGTTGGGACCAGGTCCACGCCCTGGAGAATGAGTCTGAAGTCACAGGATACAAGGTGAGTATGTCACACTTTGGGTTAAAGAGGTTGAGATGAGTACATAGTCTTAAATAGCCAACTTGTCCATCTACATTTACATCGTACTTAAAACTATTACAGCACATTTACAGGTGCAAATGTGCTTGTATGTGCAGAACAAATCTTCTAAAAAGATTGAAAGTGATTTTTATTTGGATGTCAGCAGTCAGGGTGTGCAAACCTTTTTGTGTGTGTCTGTTCATTAATATGCAGATCATATTCTGATGACCAAACCA